ATGCCAGGGGAGTCAGTGGGACATCCGATGGGTCTGGTGAAGAGGCCGGTGTGACAGAGGCCTCAATTTGGTTTGAGCACACAGGCTGACTGCTAGTTGTTGAGACAAGGGCACATGCAAGGAGGAGAGTGAGAGGCAGACTATTGTGTGAGGTTCTGTGTTTTATCCAGAGACCTGTCTCTAAATCCTAAGTGTGTGCACAGTCCTCAGAACCTTGACAACAAAAGCACCGTGGAGGCAGGCCATGTCTGTCTCTCTGTCTGTCATGTTGACCAGGAGGTGGCAGCACAGGCTTGAAGTTCTAATATGGATCCCTGTTCTCTGGTAGCCACAGCCTGCAGAACTTTCCTTGTGGGTTTTGTTCAGAAAAACCAGTGTCTCATGATTTTGTGGGTTCGTTGTCATTGTTTGGTTAGTTGGTTGGTTTGGGTTTGAATCTTTTGAGAGTCTCTCCCTTCCTTCCTTCCTTCTTTGTCACACATGACAGGCAAACATCCTACCACTAAGCTATATCCCCATGATTTTGTTATTTGTAATAATGATTGTAATATTCTGATTCCAGTAAGGTCAGTCCTGTGACCATTCATACTTCACATTTACCTTTCAATGGACTGACAAAGTGAGATGTAGTTTTCAGTTGTCTTCCTACAGTTTCCTGAGCAGTGGGTGAGCAGCTGCAGGTGCAGCATCCATGCAGTGCACACGTTTGTATGGGGCCTGTCTGCCAGCTGGATGGTGTGCTTCACAGGGTAGGGGTGGGGGCAGCTCCCTCACAGCTGCATCTGTGCTCCCTCAGCCTGCCCTTCAGGGCCAAAGTCTGCTGGTGGGCAGGGCAGGGCCCAGGTCATAAGTTCCTGAGCACTCAGTTCTCCCAGGGGCTCTTGCCCTGTGCTGAGCAAAAATGAGATGGATTCCTGACACTAGCTAATAAAGAAATGAGGCTTTTGGTTTACTGATAGCTGGAGGATCCAAGGACCCCATGGCTGAACTCATCATGTCAGAGAAATGAAAAGGAAATGTGCAGAATGTGTATGCTATCCTGACAGCAATGGCTGTGTAGCCTGCATGCTAACCGAACTGTAGGAGTCAACCAGCCCCTCTGAGGGTGGCACCCATGAGCCTCACCCTCAGAGAGAGGCTTCTTAAGGTGGTTTCATTTATCATCCCATTTTACCTGAGAATTTTTATTTGATTGTTTGTTTTTGGTTTGTTTTTTTTTTTTTTTTTTGGTTTTTCGAGACAGGGTTTCTCTGTGTAGCTTTGCGCCTTTCCTGGAACTCACTTGGTAGCCCAGGCTGGC